AAGTATATGAGTCTTTTGTAATTAATTGGAAGTTTAGAGCGTTTGTCTAGTAAGTGTTGAAGTAGTTGCAAACGTAGAGCGTTTCTTGTCGTTTTAGTCTTGTCTGAGGATTTTAAGTAACACGTTTGTCCAGGTGGAGTCCTTGGTAACGGATTCGTTCAACAGGGATAAGTGAAGTATTGTTAAAGGATATTGTAGGACAGGATGTCATTGGTTTAAGACAAACTTTTATATTTAAATTTTTTTTTCGAAAATAGGACCTTCTTGATCTGAAAATCTACAAACTTTGTTTATTTAATGAGGTAATAAAAACTCATTAATAGAGACAGGATTTTCGTGAAGTAAAATCAGTGATTTCCTGATTAACTCCCGATTGATTTTTCATAATGTATTTTTATATCCACATTTAAATTTTTTAATGTGAGATTAGATTTTATAAAGGATTTTCAGCATTTGTTTTTTATAATAATGAAATTACCACAAATTAATTCAAAGCTAGAACGGATACTGAGGTGCTAAAAACTGAGCGAAAATTCAATTCAAAACAATAACCAATTATGTCTTTCTAACAAAACATCTTATTCTAGGAATGCATTTTTTTTTATTTTTTTATCCAATACATTAGGCAAGTTCTATTCCTAGAATATTTCACACTTGTGTTTACTTCTTTCTTTCTTTTGTAATGTTAAATTGGATTGTTGCTTGCCAAAGAATTATTTACCTTTTTCATATCTTTCTATCTTGAATAACGAATTTAATGTAAGCAATACAGGGAAATAAAAATGTAAATATTAATACACATTTGTATTTATAAATTATCTAATTTATCACAAAAATGCAATTTAATGCAGCAATAATCAATATCGTGTACTTTGAGCCAAAAATGGTAAAACATGAAATTTCGCGCAATATAAAATTTAAATGTGATATTCTACAAATTCTGAACCGGATGAATATTCGGGTCCGAAGTTTTTACACGCAAGCGAATAAAATGTGCAATAACATGGAAATCCGTTCTTTACACAACATGCATTTGCTTTCCACTGAAATCGTAAGATCATTTAAAAAGAAAATATGGCCTACAGAAATATTAGGCCGTTTGGCGCAATCTACCCTCAATGTGTCAAAATAACAAGGTTATATAGAACAAACGATCCAATACTTTTGTGGGGTACCTTTTTTTTATCGATTCTGAGATCAAATCATCTTACAATTCGAAGGGGAGAATCAAATGGTTATTTATCAGTTTTTAGTCAATTTAAGATGAAACGTTCCACTTCTGAGAATTTTCGAAGGTATAAAAGTTTTATGTTATGATAAGATAAAACCATTCACGAAGTTTTCTGGATGTTAATAATTTCATAAAAAGAATGGTAAACACTGTAGACATCGGGCAAACTTGGAAAATTTAATGAACAGCTCAAAATTTGTCACATTATGTGGTTGAGCGTGGAGAATTTTAACTCAATCCATTTGATTAATTAATTAATTTTTTATTTAATTAATTTAAGATAGATTTTCCTCTGTAAATTATAAATTAAACTTCATTCATTAATAATTAATTAATTTAATTAAGAAGAGGGCTTGTTAATGTTTATTAACCAGTAAATTTTTATTATTATATTTATAATTTTATGTTTATTATCCAAACGCTGTTTGAAATATTTTTAACTACATTCGTAGTAAGCCTACTAGTCTTAATCTTCTACATATATAACATCTTTTAAGGGATTTCATAAAATTAATTTTACTCACAAATTCAATTTTTGAAAGAAACCTTCCTTGGAATTTGTATTGTTGAGCAAACTGGCACAGCGAAGTTGATATGATGGGATCGGAATCGATTATTACACTGTTAAACATGTCTTAAACATGTCTGTTACTACTTATCTTAGGCCAGATATATTAGAATTTCAAGTCTACTTATAATACGATAAATATTTTGATTTCTCCTTCGACTCTAAACATTAAGCCATCATAATCAGGTAGTAGCAATATTTATCTCTCATGCCGATCAAGCTACTACTAGTTTTTAGGGATGTTCGATAGTCTATAGTACTATCGATATATCGATAGTTTAAAGCTATCGATATATAACGTTCGTATCCTCCTCTTAAACAAAAATTATTTTCAAATTTTATATACTTAAAGGAATAATTTTAATAACACGTCTTCATATTTCTAACTATTTATTGATGCACAAGGTAAAGTGATGATATAATAATGTAATAGTGATTTTTTTGAAAATTTAAAACTGTTATGGATCTTTACATTAAGAAAATAAATGTGTGTAACTATGAAGGCGTGTTTAAATCGATTCTTATAAAAATTAAAACTGAGAAAAAAAATGAACAACAACAAGCCTTTAAGGTAAAAATAATATAATTTCAAATTATTTTCTTGGACATAATTTTAAACCTGCAGTTTACATCTCCTTTTTATTTATTATTTCATAAAAAAAATAATTAAAAACAACATTTTAAAGTAAAGCATTTTCTAAGTAGAGTGGGCCTCATGTCATTCTTCTGTCAAATATCAGTCCAGGCCCAGGCCGAGCGGGTTAACGCGTTTATAATACGCGTATATAATAAGTTCAAATCCCGGTACTGGTGGGGACTTTTAACTCTAGGATTATTCTCCTGCCTTCACCCCTCGACCAAGGAATTCCCTTGTAGCCTAAAAGGCGAGGATGGGTAGAAAGAAAAAAAAAGTTACAAATTCTATTATTTGAAGGAAAAAAAAAGTTTGTTATTTATATATATTTTACAACATCCTGTAATTTCTTTTTTATATATTTTCTTCGGATCATTGTATATTATGTAAGGGACAAATTTTGAAAAACGTTTTTAGGAATTGAAGAATTTATTATCAATAGAGGATCCTTAGTAAATGCATATTCACGTTTTTCATTATTAAAACAAATCGAGTGAGCTACCGAACTCATTTTCGTAAAAACGTTAGGCGGTGTTGACATTTATTTTTGTCACATAATTTTTCCGTGAACATTTTTCTTTAAAATAAGTTACGTCTGTCAATTTTGGGTTTATGTTTTTTTAAATTAATATTATTATACTATAAAAGTGGTTATGTAAAAGATATTAGTAATATAAGTTAATTTTTCGCCTGACTAGTATAAGGTACTTATTGAATTTTACTGGTTTGTATACTTTCAAAGTTTTTAAACAGATTTTCTAAAATGAGGAAATTTAATTAATGTTTTAGACAAAACCTGTTAAATAAATCATCTTAATTCCGCAATTTTTTAATTGTGTTAATTTTAAAAAAATGGAATATTGTATAAAATATTATTAAAAATCTCAAAAGACACAGTGAATTTGAATTTCGTTCTCTCATTTTTTTGGCAAACTTTTATTAGTTAACATTTTTGTGTCTTTTTTTTTAATAAATGGAGTGGAATTTCTAAATGATGAAAGGATCGTATGTATATATCTAAATCTATTGGTCGTAGATTAGAACACACGTATGTGTATGCTCTATTGTTACTTTCACTTACCTAAAGATGAAATAATATTTTAAAGGAAAATAATGCAAACGTGAAACATTTAGAATCTGAGTTTTCAAAGAAAATACACATTTTAAGGTTCTCAGGATAGAATTAATACAATATAGAGTACGGTCTCTGTGAATGTGGAAAGCCTAGTCTAAAACGAAATGTTGTGCGAACCTGAAATTAGATATTACAGCGAATTGTTTGCCAAATTTACTTCCCAGAATTGCTACTTTATTTTATCAAAAAGCAAAACTGACTTACTCGCCTCTCATTATAAGCTCATCATAAGTTCGTAAAAAAAAAAAAAAAAAAATTGTTTCTTTATTTTAAACCAATGGGAAGACTGTAAAAAAAAAAAGAATGATAACAAAGTGCAATTTTTTTTTTAATTCTTGCTTTGGTAGTATTGATTATTTTCAATAATCAACCATTCTGATCGACCAAAAAATTAAAAAACTTAACCCCCTCTCAAAATTTGAGGTTTCACGTTTCAGGATAAGTAGAATTCAAAAAAAGAATAAAAATTTTTTTGTACGTCCGCGCATTTTCTCCAAAACTACTGGACCGATTTTTTTCAAATTTGGATATAAAATCAGAGGTCACCCGAGAATGATCCTCCTTCATCGACATTATTATCCGTCTTTTACTTCCAAAATGGCGGCCGAAAAACCTGCGTTGCTATAGACTGTAGCTCCTAAACGAATGAACCGATTTCAATTAAACTTTGCTAAAGCCATTTTCTCTACGCCCTTTAAAATTATGTATATAACATATTTCAACGAAAAGAAGCTAGAAAAAAAGTTACGAGAGATAGTAAAATTAAATTCCGAATAACTCGAAAATTTTACAATTTTTTTTTATGTGTGAGACGTTTCAAAGGTATTTAAATTTCCTAAAAAATGAAGTAAATTTCATCGAAATCAAAGCACTAGTAGTAGAGATATCGCGATTTTTAGATATTTTTGGTTTATTATTTTCAATAATCAACCATTGTGATCGACCAAAAAATTCAAAAACTTAATCGCCTCTCAAAATTTGAGGTTTCACGTTTCAGGATATGTAGAATTCGAGAAACGAATAAAAAAACTTCTGTCCGTCCGCCGTCCGCGCATTTTTTTCAATTATAGCTTATATAAAAAAAAATTGTAGAAACATACTTGTAGTGAATTTGATGCTCGAAAATGTTCTATTTTATGCTACAACGATCCGTAGATGGAGATATTTCAGAAAATATTAGCTTTTCCCTTTTCTCTCGTGGGTCTAGGAACTGATAATATGTTCACTATTTTATTAGTAGAAACAAAGTTCTATAGTAAATTATTGCCTTCCTGTCATTCCAACAAATATTTATAAGACCATGTAAAAAAAAATTGAATCAAGTAAACTTGAACAATTTTTTAGGAAATTATCGATAATCCTTATATTTCGATAATCGATAATACTCTAGATTTAATTTAGAATACATTTTGGATCTTTTTCTTTTGCACAGGGCCTACAAGCCATCAGGTGCCCCGCCGGTCTGTACTTCGACATAGAGAAACAGACCTGCGACTGGAAGGACGCAGTCAACAACTGCAAACTGAAGAACAAGGAGAGGAAAGCGAAACCTCTGCTGTACACCGAGGAACCACTTTGCCAGGTAAGGACACTCCGATTTTATCCTTTAATACGGTAGATAGTGTATCCTTGGTAACTAATTGATTCCTCTTCAGGACGGCTTCTTGGCCTGCGGAGATGGCGCCTGTATAGAACGAGGTCTCTTCTGTAACGGAGAGAAAGACTGTACGGATGGGTCTGATGAGAACACATGTGGTGAGTACTCAGAGCAAATTATAGTATAATAATATTAGTATAACCCATTTATCTCCAAGCTGGAATACTAACAATATTCTGTTAGATATTACTTGATTGACGGATTTGCAGTGTGGCACTGCATATTTGACACGACTAATTGAATCAAAATAAAATTTTCTTTTTATAGTACTCTATAATTTATATTCATATATAATTTAAATTAATTTACAATTACATCACAAGTTTCGATATATATTCGATATTTTTCTTGCTAATGTTATTAGTGTTGCCCGAAATCAGTCTTGGTCTTGCAATCTGCAAGACCAAGACCAAGGTCGCCTAACTGTTGCAAGACCAAGACCAGGACTGGTAAAAAAAAGATTGATATTTTGAATAAAAACTAAGGCAAAATAGTTACTAATACTTGACAATCTTAGTTACTATATGTAAATAATTGGTATAACGAATATACTTTTGCATTTAACTTCTCAAATTTTTCATTCGAGCTTAGTTAGGTTTCTCTTATCTAAAAAAATACAGTAATATCTCTATAGTAATAAGCTAATAAGTAACTGCAAGACTGTTGCGAGAGTCTTGCGCAAGACCAAGACCATGACCAAGACTGAGTTTGCAAGACCAAGACTCGTCTCGGTCTCGCATTTGGGCAAAACTAAATGTTATCCTAAAACTAAAATACGATTTTGCCACTACTGTAGGATTTCCGGAGTTCTGGATTAGCTTAACGATTTGATAATTTTCAAGTTGTATATATATATATATATATATGATGGGCATGGAGGTGTTTTGGGTGTACACTGGCGGATCTAGAGGGAAGAGGGAAGGTGGGGTTGGACTGGCCCCTCAAAATAGAAAAATATGTATATTTTTTATTATTCCATAATTGTTCATGGTTTAGTTTATGCTCAATATTTAAGCAACCACAATATAATATCTTTTTAAATTATAATGCATAATCAGCTACTAAATTTGAGCATGTTTCAAGAAAAAAAATATATGAAATTTATATCTAAAAAATTATAGTTCCTCTAATTACCGTTTTTTTTTTGTCTTCCAGGACTACTTAAATAATATTTAATATAGTATTATTTTTTTTTATTCCAGAGTAATTAACGTTATTAAAAAAAACATAAAAAGACTTCCCCTCCAAATTAAATCCGGGATCCGCTATTGGTTGTATATATTAGGTTTGTTCTACCACGAGTTTTGACTATTAATAAGTTATCAGCGCATGCGCAAAAAAAATTTTTTTCGTAGCTAACCTGTATTTAGCATGCGCCTGGAACGAAAAAACCTAACTTTGCATGCGGCTGACAGTACGCTGATAACCAAAACTCTTGTGTGGATAAAGCTTTTTCTTTGTTTATTATTTATTATTTATTTATTAGATAAATTTGGCTTTCCCCTTACTTTTTAATTTTTGATATTAATTACTATACTCCAAATTTTCGGACCAGAAGGATTATGGCCTCTTACACAGGCGGATCTACGGGGGGAGGGTGGCTTTCGGGCTGAAGCCCCTCCCCAAAAGATGGTAAAATATAACCATGTTTTACAGAAAAAAATATTAAAAACTATCTCTTAAAGTATTCTTGTTAGTGTAATTACATTTAATAGGACTTCAAGAACCACTTAAACACCATTTGAAATAGGTAGTTATTTACTTTCTTTTTTTTCTAATTAATTATTGTTATACGTATATGAAAAAAAATCTTTCGGGCTGAAGCCCTCCACCCAAAATTAAATCCTGGATCCGCTAGTGGTCTCTTATATTTAACTCTTTAATTTAAGTCATATACTTGAAAATGGCAATAAATTATCAAATATATATGTTAAATTCAGTCAATTTGTATTGGCGTTTTTTGGTCGTAAGAAGGTACAACCTTAATCATAGAGTTCTACTGGTCTCTCTGTTCTTTAATTTATAAGTTTATCAAAAGCGTTTAATATAATTAAAAAAATATTAATATACCCTTCACATAAAATCAAACTAAACAAAAAAACATTCTCGAGTAAGCACTTAACGAGGCAGAATATATTTTTTTTCCTTAGCATTCTTCACCAAGACAGTATTTTTTTTTGTTGGTTTTTTGTTAACCTTCTTTCCTTTTAACAAAAAATCTGTATTAATTGACTTTATCAGATGTAACGCATATTGCAGTAGCGATAATAAGACAGGTGAATCAGTTAGCTTCATTTGATCACAATGAGGGTTAATGTACTATAACGGATCATACACACACGAATTCTCTTAATACCGTTACTATCGTTGCATTAAATCCTTATATAAATACATCGATATGAGTTCACTTTCTAATGGTCGATACACCATATAATATTTCTTATTATGATACAATAATTGTCAGTTTGGTTGTGATACTTTTATAAATTATTTTTTAGACGTGAGATTAGATCTTATCCAATATATTCTATCGTAATTATTTCGATATATTTTGGAAGTTCAAAGATCGATTCAATTATATATCGTATTATTATTGTTCAATCTATAACTGTCGAAATAAACTGACAACCAGAGAATGTGATTAAAATAGATAAAAGAAAATTTACTAAAGAAGGTCCCTCAACCATTTCATTTTCAGAATCCTTAAGATTTTTCGTAAGATTTAAATGCGTACGAATGTATTTTAACGAGTAATAACCATGTTGATATATTTTAGAATTCGCATAGTGTTCTGTTAATGCTTGTAAAAAAATAAAATATTATTGACGAATAAAACAACATATTATTCCAATAATAAAAAAACAATAATCCTCATTATATTAATTAAAACTATAAAATCCATGTAAGTTAGATCATGTGTATTTGATGAATGATCATTTTTTTTTTTTTTATTTTAATAAGTATACTTATGACATTTTTTTTATTTATAACAGCGTATGTTTTTCAACAATTTTAGCCCGTACACAATATTTATATTTTAGTTTTTAGGCAAAATTTGAAAATACCAAAATTAATAATCTAATTAAATTATAGTTATTTAAATTATCCAATAACTGAATAATTTGGAATCAGAAATTAAAAATAAATTTAAAGTTACAAAACATTAAAAAGTTACAAACAATTTTTAAAATATTTAATTTTGGAATATAGTTGAGTTTTTCCATGAAATCCATATAACATATTCTTACAATATTAATCCTTAAATAAATATATTTATTTTTATAGAAGTAATTAGATATGTTATTATCCGAACAAAGACAAAAAAAAAAACGAGTCTTTAACATAAACTGTTTTATAAATTGTTTAGCTTGATTATAAAAAAAAATTATATCTAGTTATAGTGTGTCTTAATTACTTTTTCTTTATCAGTAGAATTTAATACAATTACCAAAAGATAAAAAAACACTGAAATAACTGAAACCTTAGGAATTGCAATGTTGGATACATTTTGAAGATGGTTACAAAACAGAAATTTTCTTTAGAAGTTTTAAAGTATTTTTTATTTACTTTTATCGATGTTTTTTTTCACATGAATTTCTAATATTATTTAGTTGATGAGATGCACTTAGCCATGACGTAAATGAATTACTTTTCTAATATCTTCTACTCTTACTATTAAACGCTGTAATCGAGATGCTGTAAAAATCGATTGGGACGAAGTATCGACTTTCATTAGTGCAACAAATTGATAGGATCTGATACAGTTTTGTTTCGCTTTCGAAAGGTCACAGCTTGTGCCTCCTCCAGCATGTTCAAACCTACCGCCAAAAGATTACATTTAAATCGTTTTAGATCGAACATAGAAGAATAAAAATAAAAAAACTAAACTGAAGAATGATTCGGTTGTTAAAATAATTTAAAATCACCTCACATATATCTATATTGTACTTTTTTTTTTTTAAAGTTGCATTTTAACAGTATCTGTTAAAGGAAAAAAACTGAAGGAAAAAAATTTCTATTATAATATTTCTAATAGAACAGGAAGCTATTTGTTATAAAGTTCTAGATTAATGGTAAAAGTTTAACTATTGTTTTTATTATGTAATTTCTTAAAAAAGAAATTGTATTAATTATGAAATAAATAAATGAATTAATTGATTGTAATGTGCCGTTTGTTTATGTACTTCAGAATAAAAATAAATTTATTAGATAGACTTTTTCGCTAAATTAACAGAACTTATATATGTATATATATAAAGTTTTTTTTTAAAAACAAAAGTTCTGTAAAATGTTTACTTGAAAAGTTGCAAGCTAAAAAGTTCCATTCATATTGAAACTCATCCAAAATAAAAGTTAATATTTCAAGCTCTGGTTTGAATTGTTTTATTAAATTGTTGATTTGTTTAAAATATAACTCAATCTGATTTGATGATTAGGAAATAGCTAGAAAGTTGTTTTAAAATAACACATAAATTAAAAAACAAAAATAAAAAGGTTGAATAATTCTGTGGTTATCTAATATTTTAAATACCTGAGATTGGAATCCATTGTCTTGTAATAAGAGAGGGAATTAAGACTGGCTTTGCCACACCTAGCAACGCCCACGTGGCCACTGTTAGAAAGTGGGTCCCTAACCGCTCTAAATTAAGTCCCTATACTATAATATCGATTATAAAGAATCGATAAAATCGAGTTAACTTTCATTTTTTAAAAAAAATGAAGTAAAACTTATTGAACTTGAACTTTGTCGTTATAAAAGCTTTTGATAAAGTTATTTTAATAGGTTGATGTAAATAATTTTTTTAATAAAAGTTCAGTACAAACAATTATTCTGAAACTTATTGATAAAAGATTTTCAGTAACAAAAAATTAATTTCAGAAATAAATTTTTAGACATTTTACACGGTTTGAAATAATCATTATATTTAATTTTTAATTTATAAATTATACCTGATTTATAAATAAAAATTTAAATTGATTTCTGATTTTTATTAATTCCATTAAAAATGGTGATCACTTAATAAGTGATATGATTTTGCATAAATAATAATCATTAAATTGCCATAAAAATTTTTAATCAGATAATAAAATAAAATTT